CACTGCGGTCTGTCACAGATCCTGGGAAGAGCCGCGAGCAGGATGCAAGCTGTCTGGGCACCGCTTGGGTAGAAGATCCCAGGGTCCTGCGTCCCTGGAGTAAAGTCCAGAGAGGGGAGCACAAATGGCGGGTGGACACAGCCCCTTGGCCCAACTCCTCATTTCAACGAGAGGCACAGGGCAAGGCCCCCTCTCGCCATGGTCTAGGGCAGTGCCACCAAAAGGTTCAGACTGTCTCCCTGTGAGCCCATCAGTGCCATCCCAAGGGGGGTACATCCTGCTCTTCCAGCCAAAGATTTACTCTTCCCACGTGGTCACTTTGTTTTTAAAATGTATCTTGGCCAGAGGGGGCGCCTGCCTGTGTGTGCAGCTGGTTAAGGGGCAGACTCTAGGTTTCCGCTCAGGTCATGATCTCAGGATCTCAGGATTGTGGGGTGTTCAGGGGGCAGTCTGCTTCTCTCCCTCTCCCTCTGCCCCTCCCTCCCACCTCTCAAAAATAAATAAATAAATCTTTTTTCAAAAAATGTAGCTTGGCCAGAATCTCAGAAGCAATTCACACCACCATCTCTGTTGGTGGTCACATCTCAATGCGTCAAGTAAACTTTGAACTTATACACATAGACACAAATGCAAATCAGGTAAAAAAAGAAGAAAGCCAAGCCAAATAAAATCTTGTTTGGCATTGAACCAACTAAATTTTAGGAGATTCATTTCTCGTAAAAAATACAGGGACAGGGGCACCTGGGTGGCTCAGTCGGTTAAGCATCTGCCTTTGGCTCAGGTCATGATCCCAGGGTCCTGGGATCGAGCCCCACATCGGGCTCCCTGCTCAGCGGGAGGCCTGCTTCTCCCTCTCCCTCTGCCCCTCCCCGCTCCACTCATGTTCTCTCTCACTTGCTCTCTTTCTCGCTCAAATATAAAAAAATCTTAAAAAAATACAGGAACAGGTAACACAGAATTGAAATATACTGACAGACACCAATGCTGAGTGACGGGTACAGGGGATTTCTTTTTCCTTCTACTTCTGTACGTTTGAAAATGTTCACGCTTAAAGCTTATGGGAAAGGTTTTCGAGCCCCAGAGCCCCAGAAAGGAGCCTGGCAAGACATGACATCAGACTCCTCCTGGTGAGGTACACAGACGACAGAAGTACACACTAACCCAGTTTGCGTTTTCGTGAATATCATGCTGAGCATACCTCCAAGTAGGAAGAAGGACCCGGCCACAAGCCGTGGAGGCCCACATGTGGGGGCTGCCCCGGCGTCCCAAGTCAGCAGCCTGGAGCCCCCACCTGGCCCTCCCTGTCTTGCAGGCTCCACCCAGGACAGCTGATCACCTGGCCACTCAACGGATCCTCTCAAGTGCCCTTAGGCAGGTCAGACTGGAAGGCACTGACCAACTAATTCTGGGCCGCAAAGCCAGGGAAAGTGAGCAAAGCAACAGTTTAGCAGAAGCCTTGCTTGGCTCTGTGGCCATTTCAGCAATTCAAACAAAGCAGGATATCCTGGTCTCTATAAACACAGCAGCAGGGAAAGCCCAGGCCCAGGTGTTTACACAGAAACTTTCGCCCCCAGAAGCTCAGCGTAATTTAGGGACACTCACTAATTAAGTTAATTAAGTCTCCCAGGCCTCCTTCCCACCCCCACCCCCACGGCCCCGGCTCCCTGTTCAACAGCAAGCGTGGCTGGGGGCAAGAGGCAGGGTTGCACTCGCTCACAAACACCCATGCAAACACACGGACGCTCGCAGGCCACCCTTCCTGGGGGCTGTTTGGAGAAGGCTGAACTTCGGAGTATCCGTGTGTGTTCTGAAAATGAAATCCACAAACAACAGGCACAGTTCCCTTCCCTTGGTCCACACTAGGTCTAAAAGAGACAAAAGGAAAGACAGCAAGTACTTTTCGTCCAGATTGTACCAATAAGAGAACCTCTGCATGCTAACTCTGGATGGCGGACCACGGGGAACCGTTCCATGCTATGGCTTCTCACCTGTACTTGAGAAGCCTCCTACTTTCGAATCAGGTCACTGAGAACACGTAGGCCAACATGTTTGACTTTTCTGCTTCCGAATCCCTGTTCCCACGGATCTTCTCTGAAGACAGACTCTCAACCTAATTCTTGTAGAAGCAGGAATTTAGAAGTATTCCCTCAGCAACCTTCCTGCTGGCAGGCTCGATGGCCCGGCGTGGAGACCTGGGTGCAGAGTCACTGCGGAACAAACAGCAGGACTGGGCCCAGCCACAGACCAACAAAGGATCATCAGCTTTTCCTAAACGCACAGCCCAGCTCAAGGCCCTGTCTCTGAGCACTGCCCGGAAACGAGAAGCAATTTTTGTGAGCCCCTGCGGGTGGCGAGAGGCCTTTTCAAGTGTGGATCCTTGTGGGGCAACCTGTGCCTTTGAAGAGCTGTGCTTGCAGCCGGCACACGAGCTCTCCTGCTGTTCTCCCTAAAAGCAGCGGCATGCATCTGCCTCCAGACGGCATGCGTCTGCCTCCTCCGGACAAGCAGAGGAGCGCTCACTGGCTGGGGAGAAACCACCACCCACATGGTAATAAACCATCCACTTAAGTCTCCCTGGCCTCTCGTTCCTCCCTGGGAGACCCATCACAGGAAACCACAGCTCAAGTGAGAGGAAGCTGCCCCCAGGCTTGAGCCTCATGGAAAGGGTGAATGGTCAGGATTCCAACGCTGGCTGTTGCCGGCTTCCACAGATGTCCGGCCCCATGCAAAAAAGCAGGCATTGAAACCTTCCGGGGGGGAAAAAATGAAAGTACGCTTTTCCTTGTCGAGGAAAGGAAAGCAAAGAAGCCAGCCCTTTGAAACACAGATGGGAATTTCAAATTCAGAACCATTCTATCAAATTGTGGCGTGTTTCGGATACTTGAAAAGCCTGAAACAACAACTTTCTAGTAACAGAAGGCTTTGATAATCCTCCTCTGGACCAGCAATACCACCAAACACTATAGCTGCTCTTTAATGATAGTTTCACTTAAGAAAAACAGACTTTAAAAATTAAGCATTCAGCCTAAGTTCTACTGAAAAATGAATGCTCAGTTAAGTGACAAATGTGGGCTGCACATGAGTTGAAGACAAGCCAATTCCTTCCATTACACCCTCTGTACTAGAATCCAGGGGACTGTAGTCACCAAAGTAATATACATGCATCACAGCCCAAACTGAATTTCCAAATGGAAAATATGCATTATATTATTTTCATTAATCATTTTAAAGTCTTCACTTCTGAAAAAAATAGGCTTTTTCTCCAAGTGGCTTCAAAGGAACTCTTAAATGTGCATGAACCTTGCTTAACGTTGCCGCAATCCAAGTGATGGACGTTTTAATCTCTTTGATGAAGGAGTATTTTTGTACCATGAAATGAATCTCTTGGCTCTGATAAATGTGGTCTGAAGTAGACATCTAAAATGGAATGGAAATTTCTGTGGTTTTCTTTCAAGACCTTAGCAAATGACCAAACTTGGATTTTTCGGGACAGAGCACAAACTAGAATAATCTGATAATAATTTAATCGACAACTGGATGCACACTATGGTACTAACAATACTGGAGACATTGTTTCAGTAAGCAAGCGACTGAAAACCAGCCCGACAACTACATGCTAATGAAATGATTAGGGAAACTGAAATAGAAGAGATGATTCTTCCAAGAAGCATATCCTAACTGAAGAATCCATGCATACAACTATGGGGGTGGGGCAAAAAGAATAGAGACGTTTATAAGGTGTTGTGGAAGTGAGTGCCCTGGTCATCCAGAACCTAAAGGACAGTGACCTTCCTCCGTGCTTTGTTTAGGACGAACAAGATAAGATGGTATAGCAGGACACCAGCTGGAAGCCTACTCTCCAGTGTTCAAGTTTAAAGTTCTAACAGTTCTACCCGGTTTTGCTCACTTTGGCCTTCCCCATGAAGTTAGCCACAAAACAAGGGACAGGGTGACTAGTCGGTGAAACCAGGAAGCCATGCGTTGTATGACATTGTAAAAACAGCCACACACTCAGTGGGTTAAGCACCTGGCTCTTGGTTTCAGCTCAGGTCATGATCTCAGGGTGTGAGATCAGCAGGGAGTCAGCTTGAGATTCTCTCTCTCCCTCTGCCCCTCCTCAGGTAGAGGTGTGTCACCTTGGGGCAAGCAAGTTTCATAGCCTCTTCAGGCTCCAGTTTACTCATCTACAATATGGGGATAATAGTAGCTCTTTTGCAGAACTGTGAAAGTTAAATGAGATCACCATTGAAGTCCTTGGCACAAGGCCAGTCTCAACACTTCCTGAAGCACGGATGTGAAATATACGGGCTTGGCATCAAACTTCAAATACATCCAGCATAAAGGTAGAGTCACCAGGTGGTACATCTGCTTACAAGTTCTGCACTTTGCAACACTGATGCTTCTCAGCCAAGTATCTACGTGAGGTTAATAACGGTGCCATCAGAGGTTTCTCCGGGGTCTATGTTCCCGTGTGTGTGTGTCCCCCATTCCCTCCGGAACAGAAGCTAGCCAATACAAACCAACGGGCAATCACTGGTTTCATCAACAGGTGCAAAAGAAAACGAGCGCCAGGCACGGGGTCGGGGCGGCTCCTGAGTCAATCCCCTGGGATTGCGGTGAACCTAAAACGCGTCCCGGCGGGGCCCGGGGGCATGAAAGGCCACACCGGCTCTCCAAGAGCGCAACGACCGGGCGGGCGCGGCGAGGGCAGACTCCCAGGAGGTGCTGTGGGCCGCCACGCCCTGGGCCCGGCCTGCGGGGCACTCTGGCATCCCCGGGGTCACCTCATTCAAAGAGGCCGCGCCCGCACCCCGCGCGCGACCCCCACTCCCCGGCTGTCTCGGCGCCCCCCGGGACTGGTCACCTCGGGGAAGGGAGGTGCCCCTTTCTCGAAGTCTGGGCACGATCAGCGCCCTCGCCTCGGGCGTCGTCGCTCCCCCGGGACGGGAGACCAGGGGAGCACGTTCCCAGCCCCGGGTCCGCGGCGGGGTCGCACTCACCGAGCGTGGCCACCGTGCCGGCTTCGAAGAGCAGGCAGTCCCCGCGGCCGCGCGCCTCCAGCAGGACGCTCCACTCCCCGGAGGCGTCCAGCCGCCCGAGCAGCCGCAGCCCTTTGCTCAGCGCCATGGGCGCCGGGGCGCGTCGGGCCCGAGGGCGCGCAGCCCGTCTCCGCTCCCCGCGCGCCCACAAGTGCCAGGAGTTTCACTTTGGGCCGCGGCTCCGGGCCCCGCGCAGGCTCCTCCCCGGCCTCTTCCGCGGCCTTCCCCCCGCCCCCGCCCCCGCCGCGCCGCCCCGGGGCAGGTGAGGGCGCACTGCCGCCTCGCCCGCCCCCGCGTCCCGCGCCCGAAGGCGCCGCGCTCCCCCCAGCGGCGAGGCAGCTGCGGCCGGGCGGGCCTGGCCTCGGCGCCCCGCGCCCCCGGGGCTTTGCTCGGGGGCCTAATGCCGGGCCCCCGGCCGGAGGGGAAGTCCTCCCTGCGGCGGACGGCCGCCGAGGAGGAAGATTCCACACATTCCTGGGCGCGCAGGAGGACGCGGCCGCGGGGTGCCCCACTGAGCCTAAAAACGCTGCAGGACGCCCGGCCTTATAAGGGCAGCCCGGCCGGGGCCCGCGGCGCTGCGAGGCAGGAGTCCGCGGCCTGCCCTCCTCGGTCCCGGCCCGGGCGGTGCACGACGCTGGGCCAGTCACTTCAACCCTCTGTGCCTCAGTTGCCCTGCGGGTGAAGCGGTAAGTTTAAGGTTGTGCTGAGGATCCAGTTAGCTCCCAGAAGGGGCTTTAGTGAGTGCCTGGCGAGTGGCAAATCTTCAATAAATGTTGCCTTTTAGCTTTCTATACGTGAGGATACTGTGGTCCACTTCCACACCAGGGAGAATTTGAGGGGATCAAAGGCGTGTTGTCTCAGAGAAAACGGAGATTGTGACTTCTAGGCGGGCCCCTTATGTGACCTTGACTTCTCTGAGCCCGCTTTCCTGACCTGTCAGATGGCGGCAGTACCTGTCCCACCCGCTCACGCTTGCCGGATGGGTGCTGAGTCCGAGGTCAGGGCTGAAAGCTCGCGAAGTAACAAGCAGGGCAGCTGTGAGGGGCTGGTGGGTGCAGAGCGAGGGGTCTCCTCCCTCTCCCTGCAGCCTCTCCTCCCACTCTGGGGTACTGTCCTCGACTGCAGGGCAGACACTGCCATCAGCCAGTTTGTACTCAGGGCGTGCGGACTTCAGCACAGATCCGTGCCTCATTCATTGGCTTATGCTGCCCCTCCGCGGATGCCCTCGCAGCTAAGTGAAGGGAGGCAGGGCCCCTCTCGGCACTGGGTTCTAGCCAGATGCCAGGACTCATCTACAGGGGAGGGGAGAAGGGAGAGGGCTTCTTACCCAGAATGGCTCCTCGGGTGGGTTTGGAGGTTTTGTTTCCTTCTCCTGTCATGCGTGTGTATGCACAGCCCCAGAGACCTCCACCAGGCTCCCAAACCACCCGGGCACCTCTCACCCCACAACCTGCTCACATTGAAGACTGTGGGTCGGGCTCGTTGCCTCTGGAGCATGTTCCAGAAGGAGCAGAGTCCCCAGTGCCAAGCAGGACGCTGTGGTGCCCTTGCAGACGTTCAGGAATGACAGGGAATGACCAGATATTCAGTCCTCTGTGGACAACCTCCCAGGTGATGAATTGGGGAATAAAGTAAATGTAAACAACTGGCAGAGATTCAAATCATTCCTCAGCCTTCTGTCCTGTTGCTCACAAATTTAGTTATGAAGTGTGGATATCCCAGGTATGACGCTCAAAGCTGTCCACACACTTTCTTCCTCTCTGAAATGGAGCTTTACCCATGAAATGATACAAAGTAGCTTCTGGCCCTCTTTTAAACTTGAAGCTCACTTCTTCCAGGAAGCCCTCCTAGAACGATGAGGTCCCAGGAAATAGCGTTTATATGTACTCAGATTCACAGATGTACATTTCAGCTCTCATTTGCTCATGTGCTGCTTGAGACACGTTTTTATATTTCTTTTCTCTTAGCTCTGCTTCACAAATTAGGGATAAGATCTCAGGGACGACCTAGTCTTTTAAAATTTTAACTCTCCCCCTCTTTTGTGCCTCCTCTAGTATCACATAATTTGAAGCTCTGCATCGTGGCATGCTGTACGTATTGCAGAAACTTTCCTACGATGAAGACCAGCACTTGAGCTTTACAGTTTATATTATCTAAGACACAATCAACGGGAAGACGAACCACGATTTTAGGTGCTGCCGAGGAACAGCGCTGCCTGCTCACCTCTGTAACTAAATTGTTGGCCATGTTCTGATTTCAGCAATGGTATGGCGTGCATCTTAGACTCAGTGAACTATAGTGGCTGCCCCCTTATCTCTGACAAGTGGCTGAAGGAGCCAGGAGCCTGCTGGATTTTCAGGTCGCTGCGCTCTGGTTTGGAGTGAACCGTCAACAAGGGTGGCTGACGAAGCATCAGCCTTACGTGCACACTGCCTTGATGGGCCAAGGCCCCCCCCCCCCCCCCCCCGGCCCCGGACACTGGCACAGTTAGCAGATGGAGAAAGTAGCAGAGCTTGAGACATTCAAGAAAAAGCTCCCTCTGATACCTAACGGGCAAGTGGAACCTGGGGAGGCAAGGGAACCCATCTGAGTGGGGAAAGTCTGGCCATATTCTGCTCCTGAGCTGTAGGCTCCTGGAGGGCCCATGATTGGATGGGGAGGAGGAGAGGAAGGAATGAAAAGCGACCTCCATCAACCCCGGGGGTGGGATAGGCACCCCCCCCCCCAGGAAATTCATGCTGGCTGTGCTGGGGGGAGGCAGGCAGGACCTGGGGAGTCTGGAGCCCAGCAAGCTCTCAAAGCAGAGTGAGAAAGAGGGGAGAGCTTTGAAAGAAATGAACAACGGCTGTGTCTGGTACCCGATTCCTTGAGAGGCAGAAAGGATAGTGAGGAGTCAGAAAGGAGCCCAGTGTTTAGAGAATGGGACAGAGTGGCACCATCGACAGACAGGAGAACTAGGGAGTGGGCTCGTGGGTGTGGTTGGGGATGAGCTGAGTTTAAGACGAGCAAGGTCACCCAGTAGAAAAGCCCAGAAATGAACAGTTGGAGGCGGCGAAGAGGCTGTCTCTGCAGGGGAGTGGAGACGGGCATCTGAGCCTGGGAGGGGCAGGGGGAAAGACCCTGAAGAAGCAGTCTGAGAGATTTGAGAAGCCCAGGGAAACGGAGTGGCCAGTGGTTGTCAACCTCAGAAGGGTCTGTTTGAATAGGGATTCAGGGGCACCTGGGTGGCTCATTCGGTTGAGCATCCGACTTTTGATCTCAGGGTCGTTCATAAGCGGAGCCTACTTTAAGATTTTTTTAAAAAAATTCAAGAATGAGGACTCAGAAGAGAACCTTGGTTTGGTGACCTTTGAGCGGTTAGTTTTTTAGAGGGTTGGGCAAAAAGTCAGCTTGCAAAGAATTAAGGAAGAAATGTAGGCAGTAAGGGTACTGAGCTAGCTCTAGGAGCCTGGTGATGAGAAACACAGATATGATGCAGCCAGAGGGGACAGTAGAAGCTTTCTAAGATGGGCCAGGCCTTTGCAGGCAGCAAAGACAGGAGGTGGGGGGTGGGGGCGATCAAAGACGCCGTGTGGAAAGGATGCGCCTCCTCTAGAGATGAGAAGGAAGGCCAGGCTCTTCGGAGGGAGGGATAGGATGGTGGGAGGCAGGGTCGAGAAGGAGGGTAGGAAGCATCGTCCTTCCAAAGGCCTGGCCCCGGCTGAACCCCCAAAAAGCAAGGAAGGGGGTGGGAATGGGAACCCTTCTCTCAAGGGCGGGAAAAGCCCCGAACATTTGCTGTGGCATAGTTGTCTCTAGAAGGCGTGTTCCAAGTCCCCTGGGTTTGAGGAGATAATGGGATCCTAAAGCTAGGGGCAACCTCAGCTGATCCTCTCTCGGTTCTTTGCCAAAGGAGAAGAATGTCTCAATTCTGTCAGCAATGCCTTAAAAATATATCCAGGGCCTGACCACTGTTAGCCTCCCCATGAACTCAGGTTCGGTTCTCTGTGACACAGACTCTGCGCTGGTGGGGGTTTGCGAGCAGGACCTGGTGTAGTGGGGAGGGCTCTCAGGCCCTACGCCAAGGGAAGGGAGAATAAAGTTGAGCTGCCACGAAGGCCGCACCAACCCCTCAGGACCTCCAGAGAGGGGTGGACCCTGGAGGTGTCCTGAATGCATCAACCAATGTTTGCCTTCAAGATGGGTACAACCTTGCGCCCGGGGGGCTCCCTTCGGCCAGGAGCAGCATTCCAGCACTCGGAGAAGAACTGCCTCCCTCTACCACATCACCACATCACCCCTGCCCCTCCTGGCCCAAGATCACGAGCCTGGCCCCCAGTTAGCAGCCACACTCCCAGAAGCCCATGTCCACTGTGATCCAGGACCCTGCCCTCCGGGGCCATCAGCTTCTGTTTTGTTCAGCCAACACATCACCTACCTCTCTCTGCTCTTCCTCAAATGCGCCAGGCGCCCCTGCTCAGGCCTTTGCCCTTAGAATGCTGCACCCCTACACATCCCCGTGGCTGGTTCTCTCCCTCTTTCAGATCTGTTAAAAAATTGTCCTTTGTGAGGCCTGTCTGAGCGTCCCTACGTAAATCCCCCCCCCCCCCCCCGCCCACCTACCCCGCCGTCATGCGCTGAATTGTGTCAATCCAAATTCACATTCAGCATGTGACTGCGTTTGGAGACGGGCCCTTTAAAGAGGCGATTCAGCTAAAATGAGGTCACATGGGTGGGCCCTAATCCAATCTGTGTCCCTATAAAAAGAGGAGATTAGGACACAGACAGGCACAGAGGGAAGACCAAGTAAAGCCACAGGGAGAAGACGCAGACTTGCCAACACTGATCTCTGACCTCCAGCCTCAGGAACCTTGAGAAATAAACTTCTGCTGTTTAAGCCCACCGTCTGTGGAACTTTGTTCAAGTGGCCGAGCCGACGAATACACTCTCTATCTCATGTCTTCTTCTCTGCTCAAATTTTCTCCTTAGCACGCGTCCCTCTCTAACATAAGAAACCGTTTGTTTATTTACTTACTTATCGCGTCTGTCACCCTCCGCCCACTGTGTTATAAGCTGGCTGAGCAGGGATGCTTTCGTCTGATTTGTTCC